ACAATGGAAGACTAAAGACAGTGGAATTTATTTATTTATTTATTTATTTATTTATTTAATTTTTGAGACAGGGTCTCATGTATCAGAAATGATCTTGATCCTCTTGCCTCCAAACCACCAAGTCCTGGAATTACAGGCATGTGCCACTGTGCCTAGTTTATGTGGTGCTGGGGACTGAATCCAGAGTTCTGTACGTGCTAGGTAAGCACTCTATTAACCTAGCTGTATTTCTAGTCTCTAGGACAATACCTCTAAAATGCTAAAAGTAACAACAATCCAAGCTAGAGTTCCACAGTCAGTGAAAAAAAAAAAGGTTTCAAAATAAAGGTATTTTAGGCTGTTGAAGCTGAGAGACTTGGTTATCAATAGGTCCATGTTATATGGAATTCTAAAGGAAGCTCTTCAGGCGGAAGGGAAATGGTCCCAGAAACAAATCAGTATGTGAAGGAATGAAGTACACTAGAAACAGTAAATATGTGAGTACATTGGAATGAGTTTTTTTAAAATCTTAAATTCTTCAAAGTGAGGCATTGTCTATGTGTGTGCATATGCCTGTATGGAGTCCTGAGGTTAATGCTGGGGTCTTCCTTTATTGCCCTCGACCTTATTTAAAAAATTTTTTTTTTTTTTTGTTTTTTTGAGACAGGATCTCACTGTAGCCCCAGCTGGTCTTGATCTCACAGAGATCTATCTGCCTCTGCCCCCTGGGATCAAAAGTATGTGTCAGCATGTCTGGCTACCATCGTATTTTTTGACACAGGGTTGCTCAGGAAGCTTAAAAGTCTATTTTGGCTAGGTTGGTTGACCAGTGAGGCCATTTTAAAGACTTTCAGAAACTCCAAACTTTGAAATTATGATATTCCTGGCCAAATGTAATTCTCAATTATATCTAAAATAAGCATAAGAAAGTCAAAGTTCTGACAACCCATTGAAATTATTAAAAAAAAAAAAAGACAAAACCCCCAAATTTTGAAAAAACATTTTTCTCTTTATTTTTGGTATCTCTATTTGGTTTTTTGGTCTTTTTGAGACAGGGTCTCCCTATAGCCCCAGCTGGCCTGGTATCTCTATTTGTTAACAGTATCTATTTATTAGCTATACTCTAAAGAATGATGATATTAATTTGGGAATAAGCAGGAAGCACTGCAATGTGGACCATGTACCATGGAAACCATATTGTATCCCAGGAGGATAGGGCACAGGGAAACTTCTGAAGTCAACGAGGAGGACAGAATAAACCAGAATAATAATCTTGGGGTATAGGGATTAATAACAAGAGTGTCCACTGGTGACACCAGTTCCAAAATTGAATAAATAGTGCTGGATAGATGTGCTTGCAGAAGTACTTTCTGTATAAGGCTGCAGTGGCCTTTGTGCAAGGAGGCAGTTCTTGTTATCAGGCACACATGCATGAAATCCCTCCTTTATAACAGCCTGTTTTAGTATTATTAATATTGATGGGGCTGGACATGGCAACTCCATTTTGGTTTTGACAAGTTTCACAGTAGTGCCCCAAATGCACTCACGGTTTGACTCGGGTTGTTCAGTACCAGTGGCCTGCTAGCAGTGAACTCCTGAACAAACTTGCTGATACAAATGTGCCTAGCAGCTAGAGGCTGGGCGCTAGCCAGCACTATTCATCTCCTAGGGTTTCTTGGGCTGAGGTCTTCCAGTGCTGAAACTGGGCAAACTGTGGTGACACTGGTTATCCTAACTGGGACCCAGAGTGAAGGCCTGAGGAGAGATGTGGCCCTGAGAGCAGCAAGCAATAGAGTTTTGCTATTGGCAAGAAAGAAAGGCTGAAAAGTCTGAGAGCTGTCTTCCTGAAATTTGATTTGTCCTTTAACTGCAGTGAAAATTTATCTTTTCCTCTCTCACACTTTGCAGTTTGTACTGAAAGACCAAAGACAGTCTGTCCCCGGGAAGGAGGCACATCATGAATGTACAAACATAGATGTAGAACAGCAGTTTTGCTTGGCAGTTCAAACACTGTGGCTCACAGATCTTCTTTCTCTTAGGGGATGATTCACTGACCCTTCACCTACTTGGCCTGGAGGGTAACAGGGAGAGGGATTTAAGTGTGCCTACTGAATTCTCACTGTCATCTTCTGAGTTACTTACTCATTAGATTGACGTTACTTAGAATGACACAGACTCAAAAAGGTCAAGTCACTTGTCCCAGATCACTTGGTTACCGACTAGCAGATTTTGTGTATTTCATTCCATGAACGTCTTGTTGTAAAGCCTGGACCCAGCCTCCAGATCCTAGCATAAATGTCTTGGGCACTTGTGGGAAATGCAAGAAAAAAATGCAGAGAGGAAGGAGGTGAGCCAGAGCTGGAAGACCACAGAAATGAAATGCACAGGTGTCTACACAGAGAATGTTGTCTTTACTCCCCTGGAAGAGGATTTTTTTTTTTTTTTTTTTTTTTGAGACTGGGTCTCCCTGTAGCCCCAGCTGTCCTGGACACAACTATGTAGACCAGGCTGGCCTTGAACTCAGAGATCCATCTGCCTCTGCCTCCCAAGTGCTGGGACTACAGGCATGCGCCACCACGTCCGGCTAGGAGAGATTTATAAATGATAAAAACAGACCTATGAGACCTTAGATTGAGCTACTTGTCAAATGAATGTCTTAGGAATGTACTGGGGAGATTAAGGAGAGGAGAAGGATACCAGGAAAAGTATCAGACATGATGACTTCTTTTTACAACCATAATAGCAATCATTTGTCAGCCTGTTGGCTCTGGTGAAGTATAGAATTCTTTAAAAATTTTTTTCATTATTTTTATTTATTGTTTTTTTTTCAATTAAAAAAAATTATCTTATTATTTTTATTTTATGTGTATGTGTGTATTGCCTGCATGCAGGTAAGTGCACCCGTGTCGTGCAATGCTGTGGAGGAAAGAGGCCATCAGATCCCATGGAACTTGAGTTACGGACAGTTGTTAAGCTGCCATGTGGGTGCTGGGGTTCGAATCCAGGTCTTCTGCAAGAACAACCAGTGTTCTTAACTGCTGAGCCATCTCTTCAGCCCTCATTTTTATTTTATGTGTATAAGTATATTGACTGCATGTATGTAAGTGCATCTGTGTCATGCAATGCTCAAAGAAGTCAGACATGGCACTGGATCCCTTGGAATTGAAGGACTGTTGTTAGCCACCATATAGGTGCTGGGAATTGAACCCAGATCCTCTGCAAGAGCACCCAGTACTCAACCACTGAGCAGTCTCTCCAGCCCTGAAGTGTAGAATTCTAACAGCAGGCTCTCAGGACACTTTGAACTGACCGTATCTTTTGTTAACATGGCTTTTGGAAAAGCACATAAAATGTTTACACATTAACTGCTAAATGAAGTCTATTTAAAAGAAGGTTGATAGGCTGGAAAAACATACTGTATGTGCTGGGTGTGGTGATGCACGCCTGTAATTCCAGTACCCAGTAGTCTGGGGGAAGGAGCTCCAGGCCAGCCTGGGCTATAGAATAAGGCCCAGTCTCAAAACAGAGTAACAAAGAAAAACCAAAACAATAGAAAAGAAAGGAAGTGGGAGGGGTAGTGGTGAAGATTTTAAAGACAAACTGGGATTTATTTACAGATTCCCCTGAGATTCCCTAGCTCCCTAGCAAGAGATTTAGCCTTTGTTCATTTGTTTCTTTATGAATAGCTAGTAATGCTTTGTGGATACATGTAGGAGCTCTGAGCCTCAGTTCCCTCATTGCTATGGTTTGATTATGAGATATTCCCTGTGAAGTCTCATGCACTGAAGGCTTGCTTCCTAACTGGATGAAGCAACTGAGGTTTTGATGGTTCCACTTGGTCCCATCGTCCTTCTTTGCCTGTCATGAGGTGAGTGGCTTCTGCCTCATGTTCCCACCCCATAGTGTTCTGCTTCACAATCAATGGAGGCAAGGACTGTGGACCAAAATCTCTAAAACTATAAGCTAAAATAAGTTTTTTCTCTTTTGTTTATGTTGGGTATTTTGTCACAGCAGTACAATAATATACTCAACTGCTAAATGGGGTTATAATGATAGCTATCCCACTGGGTTGCTGGGAGAGTTAAAGAAGCTTGAAAATGTAGGGTACCCAGAATCATGCAATAGCCAAGGAAGTATTGAGTGGAAGCTATTATCACAATGAACAAGCTAACACATTCTGCTTTTTAACTTAACATTGGTCTCTGAAAATTTTTTTTTTAAATTGTGGGGTGGGTGCTTTGTGCCTAGTTCACCGGGAGCCCAGGATTCTGTCTGCACGGTGTCATTCCAAGGCTCCTTTCTCCCCTACATACCTGTAGCTACTGATCTTCCTGCCTCCACCTCCCAAGTACTGGGATCACAGGTATGCAACACCACACTCAGCTGGGTGTTTTATTTCTTGTTTAGGATTTGTGCTCCACGAAGACAGATAATTTATCTCTCATTTACTATTAATAGGCTCACAATCTGGTAGAATGCCTGATATAAATAGGTAATCAAACATGTATGGTGATGGTAAGAATATTCATTATAACTTTCTTGCCACTTGCAACAAACATCAGGTGTTATGTCAAGGCAGAAAAGTGGATAGGTGGGATTTGTAGAAGTGTTCCAACTGCCTGATTACTGTAAATGAGCAGTAACGGGGATGCTCTTCACCTGACCTTACTGGGCTGTCACGGTCCTATTTGTGGTGTCCTCTCCTGGTACCCACCTTTGCTTAGCTGGGGTTCCCACAGCACTTAGCATGCATTCTTACTGGCTCTTGCTTTTATGCTTCGGTGCTGCTTTTACCTCCACATGTCAGTCTTAGCTGACAAGGCTCTGATCTTATTCATTTGCTCTTCCTCATGTTTCCTGAGCTCCGTGTAGAGTGCTGGTCTTACTGGAGATGCTCAGCAAGCATGGGGAACGTCCACTGCTGCAGCTTCTCCAGGGAGATGGCCCAGAGCAGCTCTAAGGGCTATATAAGGGAAGAGATGCTGACTGGACAGGAGAGGGAGACCAGTGGCTGCTCTTACCTTGTCTGCTGTGGCTGGTGGTGGCAAAGCTGGGGAGTGTGAGAGCATCTGCAGAGAGGCCTCCAACTGCTGGGGAGGCAAAAAGAAGTTGGGCACCACGACAGGTTCTGGGCTGTAATGGTAGTTAAGGGACAAGAATGCCCAGAAGTCGAACCAACATCTCTACTGACCTCAATCATACCATTCATATTTTCTGTCTTAATCTTCAGATGATTCCCTTGCTGGAAGCCCTTGCCCATGCCTAACAAATCAGTCCTTCCTCCTTCCCTTCTCTCTTCAGCCTTTACTTTATGGGTGGGCTCAAATCCCATTCTTCTCTAGGAAGACCTTTCCTAATCTTAGCCATGTGGCCCCTCCTTCCTCACCCTTCCTTCCTTCCTTCCTTCCTTCCTTCCTTCCTTCCTTCCTTCCTTCCTTCCTTCCTTCCTTCCTCCCTCCC